ATGCTTTCCAGAGTTTCTCTACCTAGGAGAATAAATCACTGGAAATGAAACAATACAGGAAATCACTAGAAATGAACCTCGATAACAACAGGATATATTATCACATTCACACTTTCCAGGTTGGCTAATGGCGTGGAGTGTGCATTGTCAAATAACATCCACATGACGACTTGCAGTTTCACAAATAAAGTTGTATAGAGTAAAATGACACTGGTTTGCATCTTATTTTCATCCTCATAGGATGAGAACCCCTCTTATTAAGTGCTAAAAATTAATCCTCTGCAATAACTATTGTTAAAACGACTTTTAAAAGACTTCAGTTGGAAAGAAAAGAGAGACGCGAGAAACACAAAATCTTGGGAAATTCAAATAGAGAGAATGAATGAATGAAGACATTAAGAAACAAGGTAAGAAACTCATGTAAGTACAGCCAGACGCAAGCTTAAATTAAGGTTTTAAAAGTTCATTTTGGAAACAGAAGTGAAAATGAAGAACCCAATGACTCTTAGTTAATTCTTAAAACTAAGCTAATTTTCAGAATGAAATACTGGACACACATCCTTGAGTAATTGGGATCCCAGGTGGTTACTTCTGCTTTGCTTGAAGTCCAAACAATCTGGACATTTGTACATCACGCATTAGTGCGGTACCTTCCTGCCCTATGTCACCGGAACTCTCCTACATCAGCCAGTGAGTGAACTTATGGTGGAACTGCTCATGAGCGGAAAGTTTCATTTTTGCAGCATCACTCGCTCTGTCATTACCCTGCAACATTTTTGTTCATTTGTTCAAATGTGATTGCATGTTGCCATTATTACCAAAAATGAGTGGGAAATTTTTTTAAAAATTAAAAATTAATAGTAATTGTAAGACATTTTTGTCTCATAAACTTAATATAAATTAGTGGAAGTTATTAAGCATGCCAGAAGTGGCAAATCTCTAGTCAGAATCAGACAACTATTGTTCAGGTAAGAAAATAACCAAAATTATAGAAAGTTGAAAGAAAAAAAGAAAGGAATAAACAAGGAATGCCGTGTCTAAATGACAAGATATAATTAAAAATTTTAGAATATATTCGGCCCTCTAGGCCCAGTATCCCTTTTACACAATCAATCTTTGAACCAATTTTTAGAAATGCATCCTATACTAAAGTAGGAAAAGAAGTACCGAAAGACTCACCATGTTTCCGATCAAATACAAAAATACATACAAAGTATTTATAAGCTGAAAAGCACAGGCATTGGTACTTCCGTTTCAGGGCCCTGACACTCATTCACAGCCTAAATCATCCCAAAGGTATGATCAACTCAGGTCTTGTATCACTGTGCTGCCACAGTGTTAAATACGTAACATTAATCCAGTGGCATCTGGTGTTTCACAAGTCTTCTTAGGATATTCTATCTTCTCCTTTGTCCACTCCAGGTTACTTACTTTGTAGACTATGTCTAGCCAAATTGTAAATTCTTTTCTGGCTTCTCCACAACCCTTACTCTGTACATCGTGACTGTCCCAAGAAACTTGGTGTGCTAAGAAAATGTCAAGTAGGGTTCATTTGTTTGTTCTCCCCTTACATTTTTTAGACACTTATTATGTAACTACTGTGTATCAGACATTTGGATAAAGGCTTTGAATAAAAAATGATAATCTCACCAATCAGTTGGAGGAATCTCCAGACAATACAGTTGATTCAATATGATAGAGGATATTAAAGCCAACCACCAAGTAGAATAGGAATCATGAGACATCTCTAAGTTTATGTGAATTAGGAAATGTGTCAGAGGGGAGGTCTTATTTGAACTGCATCTTGAGGGATAAATGCGTAGTAAATAGTTGATTAGACTGAAAAGAGAAGCAAAGACATTTCTGGCAGAGGGAACAGCATCCACATCTAGGTCAGGGAGGAGAGAAAGCAGGCAACGTATCCTCCAAGAAACTGTAACAAGATCAAGATCAGTGGGGCTTAGAAGCTTGGGAACAGGGAAGCAGAGAAATAACCCAAAGAAGACAGTGCAAACCTGGCCACGTGTATCATGTTTGAGAGTTTAGGCTTTATGCTATAAACTAGTGTTTCTTCAAGGGTCATTTGAGGTCACCTCCACCAGATTCACTAGGGGATCCACTAAATGCAGATTTCTGGCCCTTGCATCTGGGGTACAACCCTGGAATCTGCATTTTCAATAAGCACCTGGATGATACTGATGCTTACCAGCTAGGGAGCCGCCATAGATTTGTAAACATGAGAATGACATGATCAGATTTATATTTTAGAAATATGCTATTAGACCAAGGAGACAATCAAGAGGAGGGTAAAACCACTGCGGCTAAATAAGCATGTGACTCGGGTTTGTATTAGAATCATCTGGGGAACTTTTGTAAAACTGCAGACTTTTCATACTTTACCCAAAAGTTACTGCATCTGAATCAGAGCAGAGGGGGCTAGGATTTATAACAGGTAGAACGATATGGAGTTGCATTTCATGTAGGTCAACATGGTCAAACTTTGGCAATTTGTCACAATTCAATCTACTATTTTTAACAAGCCCCCTCCATTCTTGATATACATCAAAGTATGAGAATAGCTAGGGAAACACAAGCAGAGCTAAATGCTTTGCCTTTTTTATTCATTAGTAATGGAATTACTCACTTTGATTAACATGCAACAATGAAGTGACATATTTATGTACCCAAAACAAATATTTTTTTTTAAAAAAGAGGTTTAAAAACAACCACGAATGAAGGTGGCTAATCTGAAGATTTTAGCGCCAGAAGGAACACAAGGTTATCCAACTTTTTCCCCATTTCCCCACACAGTTTACATACGTTGAAGCTAATAGAAGTACCCTGCTAGAGGTTATACTGAATATTTTGTTTACTTCTTCAACAATACATGCTTTTCATTTTAACAGGCATTGAAATAAACGTAGCTAAAAATTATTTGAGATTTCATTTATCGGGTGCTAGTATCACACGAAGCTTGAAAAGCCATGAAAAGGGGTATGTGTGTGGCTAAAGTGAATATTCATACATATCCATTTATTTATTTTTATATACTATTATTTTTTAATAATCCTCACCCAAGGATATTTTTCTATTTATCTGTAGATAGAGTGGAAGGGACATAGAGGGAGAAAGGGAGAGAGAGAGAGAAACAATGATGCGAGAGCGACACATTGACTGGCTGCCTCCAGCATGACTCCGACCAGGGCCAGGGATGAACCGCAACCGAGGTGCATGCCCTTGGCCATAACTGAACCCAAGACTCATGGGTCCACTGGCTGACGCTCTACCACTGAGCCAAACCAGCCAGGGCTCATGCATATCCATTTATAAAATAAAGCTAACAAATGTAAATAACACAGAACCTAGAGCAGTGCTTGAAATGTAATAGATGCTTCATAAATAACTACTGAATAAATGATGGCCCTGCTAGCCTGTCCCAATAACCCTTTGGCACCCAACCATGACCCCTCCTCTACAACTCCAGACCTGCCGCATGCACTTTCTTTCCTCAGAAGGGACCCTGCCTGAAAGCAATGGGAAGCTCATGTCTGAGCTAAGTTTGACAATACATCATGTCCTATATAGTGGGAGTAAATCCCACGTGAGCGAGGCCTTCAAAGACCACCCAAACAGAAATAATAGCTAACAGATTGATAGCTAATAAAAGCTATATTATCCTAATACAGCAACAGTTACCAATAGCTTAATAATAATAATAGCTAATATTTACTTGCTTATTATCTGACAAGCTTGTTAGCACACCACACACATTGACTCCCGTAATCCTTTTAACAGCCCTTCAGTGTAAGCACTGCTATTATCTTTCTGATTTAATAGATGGGAATAGAGAGGTTAAGAAACAGCCCAAATCATAGGACTGGAAAGTGCCAAGTTGAGAGTGGATGTCAGGCTACCTGGTCCCAGAGCTGATCTGCTATTCAACTCTCTGACCTCAGAGCAGAAAGCAAACAGGACCCTGCAAGCTGACCTCGTGGCGCAGTCCCGTCAGAAAGACGGCACTTTGGGAGAATATGACTTGGTCCCAGTCTTTTCTTCCATAGGGAATGGAGCATCTTTAGTTGAGAAGACCCTACACAAAGGGAGACCCAGGATATAAAGAAGAAAGGCAAGGAGAACCGTGAAGAAATGTCATTCTCCTCTGCCTTGGGGATCTAAGAACTTTTGGGCTAATCAAACCTCTAACTTTAACTTTCCCCTAAAGAATTTGGGTCCTCATGTGAGGATATTTTCTAAAGAAGCATCAAAGATATCATTATCCTTCATTTACTCAGTGAGACCATTCTTACCTCCAAAACCAGGGGTAAAAGTCCTAGATCAAAGGAATTTAAAAGACCAACACGAGAGAGATCTTTCTGTGGTAACTATGGCTTGAAGAATCACCTCTCACCCCAACATTCCTCGAGGAGCCAGGTATTCACCAAGAAAGAGGCCCCCCCTCTGGTGTAAGTCACCCAGCCTGTGTCCTGATACTCTGAGAGACGCTGAGAACGCAGGAAGAGGGACTATCTCAAGATCAGTACCATCTGAATGTCAAGTACTGGAGAAAGAAAAGTTTAGAAAACAAGTCAAGATCCCAGAGGAGAAGTAAATCTGATCTCAAAGGAAGTATTCCTCATTCTCAGTCTGATTGCCCCCAAACCTCTACACCCAACCATGACGACACCTGTCATCATAGAACAAACAAGACAAGGCAGTACAAGGGCAGAAATTATGCAAAATAAAATGCGTAATGGGGATGTTTCGCCATGAAAAAGACTCCAAAAAGTTCCTACAAGCCCCAAGGAACAAGACCAAATGCAAACAATAACAATAAACCTTTGAGAGGTAAACAACCCAGACTGGGCCCCTCTCACTCCACCTCACGCAGCACCGGAGTATCCTAAGGAAAATGTGCCCCCTGCCCCCCTCGCCCACAAGAAACCATCCAGCGTCCGGCCAAGGTCCGGAGGCTGCCAGAATTGAGTTTGCTCAACTCTTACCCAAGTCCAGGGATCCTGAGATTCGCAACGCAACTCTCTTCCCCTGGTTTCACCGAATGCCAGCTAAGAAACAAAATCTGTCCCAAAGAGAGCACTTCGCCTCCAAGTAGCGTCCCAGGAGAGAGCGATACTTGGGCGTCTTGGTTCAGATTCAAAGGTGGAGACGCGGGAAAGGAGGCCGGTCTCCGCGCGTTTCCAGACCCGCAGTTTTGCGCACCAGGGAAAGTACTCGCTGCAAACTTGAGTAAGGTTTTCCCGGTCTGGCCCGAGATGCTGGAGGAGGAGGGGAGTAACCCGAGCCGGGCCGGGATGCGAGCAGTTGCCGCTGCTGCAGCTGCCGCCGCCGGGACAGTGACCGCTGGAGGGGGGCGCCGCTTGGCGCCGCGCACAGTCCCTACTGCAGCCAGCAGAATCCGCCGTCCCGACTTCTGAGCCCCGATTGCAGGTCGCCCCTGCCTTGAGCGGCTTCCACCGTCCCAGAGTGACCCCGCCAATAGTTCAGTCACGAAGTTGGCAAAGCTTGGGGTCACCGCCGCGGGGGGCAGAGAGAGTGCGGGTCTGCGTCGGGACCCACGTTCGGTGAGCGCCCCCGGGTCAAAGCCTGGGAGGTGCTCTGGACCCTTTAGGGAGATTTGGGGGACTGGGAACAGCACCCGGTCGTCCGGCTGAAGTGGACCGCAAGTCCCCAGCAGTGCCAAGAAGGGTGTGGGACGAAGGGATGGGTGACCTAGCGGTACCAGAGTGTGCGAGGCGGCAACTAAGTGGATGGGAAGGTGGGGCGAGGAGTTGGGGGGATGGGTGGGGCTGAGGGAGCTTTACAAAGGCGGGGCAAAGAGAACCCCGCAGACCCGCAGGAAAATCCCTGCGAGGCCTCGCGGAGATTTCTTGGGGAATGGCTCCCTCTGCCGACTCGCCCAGGAGGTCCCGGAAGACCAGATGATAAAAAGTTAAAACCATGAAGTCTGTTAATTGGGTAGGACGTGAATTCTGGAACCTACTTCTCTGACTGTCCACCTTCCCCTTCCTTACTAAAGAATGTCCCTGGATGACCCAAGCAGATACAAGCTTCTAATTGCTGGAAAATTAGTTCTTATGTTTAGGTGAATTCTCCCCCCACCACAAACAAACAAACAAACAAACTTGTGCTCCAAACCCACCCCAAACGATCCTCTCCCTTACATTTGTATGAACTCTTTCTCTTTATGGAGATCGCAAATGCACCTGGCAAGCATGCTTCTCCTTGGTCACCCCTAAGAACAAACAGGGGAAGATTACTTGTGTTTGTGTACCAGGCATCATTGCCTCCTCTTCTGGTTAACAGGACCTATACGTATTTTTCTTTGAGGAACCAACTCTGCCACACTTAGTGAAGTCTGAGTGGAAAGGTCAGTCAGGATCGTCTGGCTTTTCCCTGTCCACGACCTAAACTAGTCCCCTCGGACCTTCTCTGCTAGGAATTCGAACTTTGATCAGAGTGGCCCAAGAACAAATAAATCCAGAGTTGATCCATATGTCAGTGTTCTAGAAATTGGCTGTTGCCCTGGCCAGTGTGGTTCATGGTAGGAGCGTCCTTCTGTACACTGAATGGTCCACCGGGTTCTATTGGGTTCCTTCGATTCTCTGTTGGTCAGAGCACATACCTAGGTTGCTGGTTAGATCCCCACCCACCATCCGCTCGCAGTGGGGCATGTGCAGGAGGCAATCAATCTATGATCTCTCTCTCTCTCTCCCTCTCTCTCTCTCTCTCTCTCGCCCCCCCTCTTTAAAAATCATTCGAAGTATCCTCAGGTGATGATTTTTAAAAATTAGAGTGGCCATTAATTTATGTCACTTAATCCCCAAAGCTACCCTTCTTTATGCTTTATGAAATCTAGTTGCTCCACTTCTTTTAATTTTTTACATCAACTTTTAGGTATAATTTACATTCAATGTATTGCTCATATTCGGTGTACAGTTTAATTAGGTTTGAACAATGTATACACCCATGTAACCACTACCACAATCAAGACAATGAACAATTCCACCGCCTCAGAAAGTTCCCCTACACCCCTTTGAAGTCAGTTCCCCCACCTCACCCCATCCCTGGCCCACTGAGCTGCTTTCTGTAGCTATCGGTTAGATTTGTCTTTTCTAGAGTTTCTAGACTGGAATCATATAGTATGTATTCCTCTGTGTCTGGCTTCCTTCACTCAGCATAATGTTTTTGAGATTCATCAATGTTGTTGTTCATATACAATGTTTGTTTCTTCTTATTGGTGAGTATTTTCCCATTGGATGAATATACCACAATTTGCCCATTCACCAAATATTGATGGACATTGAGGCTGTTTGCAGCTTAGGTTCATTGTAAATAAAACTTCTGGAAACATTCCTGTACAAGTTCTTCTGTGGACATAAGTTGTTATTTCTCTTATTTCAAAGGAGTGGGATTCCTGTTTTATACAGTGTGTGCGTGTAGCCATATAATAGAGATGAACTGTTTCTTTCTCTTTACTTTATTAATTTTTTCTTTATTTTATTGTTTTCACTATTACAGATGATCATATTTTCCCCCTTTGCCCCCTTCCACTCATCCCTAACCCTCCCCTTCCCTCTGGCCATCCCTGCACTGTTGTCCGTGTCCTTGGGTTGTGCGTATATGTTCTTTGGCTAATCTCTTCACCTCCTTTCATATGATATAACTCTATATTCCCACCAGCAATGTATGAGAGTTGCTCCATATTTTTACCAACACTTGATATTGTCTGTCTTTTTATTTTAGCCATTCTGGATATCTCTTATAGTTTAGGTTTGCTTCCCTAATGACGAATGATGGTGACCATCAAAGATGTTTACCACCTTTTCATGTGCTTCCACGCTGTTTGTTCTTTGATGACGTGCCCACATTTTCTTGCCCAATTTTTAATCAGGTCATTTGTACTCTTGTTATTAGTTTGTAAGGGTTTTTTTTTTTTTTTTTTTTTAATATATTTGAATACCAGACGTTTGTCAGATACATGCATAGCAAATTTATTCTTTCAGCCTGTCTGTTGCCTTTCAATTTCTTAATGGTGTGTTTCAAACAGCAGGAGTTTTATTATTATTCTTTTAAGTCCAATTTATCAATTGTTTTTCTTTTATGACTATGTTTTTTATGTTTTATCTAATAAATCTTTGCTTAGCCCAAAGTCATGAAAATTTTCTCCTATGGCTTCTTCCAGAATTTTAAAGTTTTAGCTGTTATGTTTAGGTCTGTGATTCATTTGGAGTTAATTTTTGTATCTGGTATGAGGTAAGGGCAGAAATTAATTAATTTTCACATAAATTTCCTGTTGTTTTAGCACAATTTGTTAATAAAATTATCTTTTCCCCATTGAATAACCTTGCCACTTTTACTGAAAATCATCGGTGATGTGAGAATGGTTCTATTTCTGGAGTCACTATCTTTTCTTTTGATCTGCAGTTCTATTGTTGTGCCAATATCATGCTGTCTGGATTACTGTAGCTTTGTAGTAGACTTCAATTTAGGTATAATAAATTATCCAATTTTACTCCCCTATTTATCACAATTTGTTTAGCTCTTCTTTTAAAAATATCTTCCATATGAATTTCAGAATTAGTTTGTTAATGTTTTAAAAAGTCACTTTGGAATTTTGATTGAGAGTGCCTTAAATATATTGATGACTTCAAGAAAATTGGCATGTTAACATTATTGAATTCTCCAATCTATAAAAATGTTGTATCTCTCCACTGATTTTGATTTTCTTTAATGTCTCTCAGCAATATTTTATAGTTTTCAGCGTACCAGTTTTTCACATATTTATAAAAATGTCTTCCTAAGTACTTTTACATTTTTTATGATATTGTAAATGAAATCCTTTTTGAATTTTAGTCTCCAATTATTTGTTGCTAGCATGGAGAAATACAATGGAATTTTGAACAGAAGCTTCATGTTTTGCAACCTGACTAAATTTACTTATTAGTTCTAATAGTTTATTTAAACTTCCTTAGGATTTTCTACATGCAAACAAATATAGTTTTGTTTCTTTTATTTCTTTTGCTTGCCTATTGCTCTGTATAGGATGCCCAATACAATGTTGAATAAAATTTATAAAAGTTAATATCTTTGCCTCATTCCCCATCTTAGAGCAAAAATAGTCTTTCAGTAAGTAGTATGTTAGGTGCAGATTTTTCACAGACATCGTTTATTGGCTGAATATGTTCCTTCATTAAAAGTTTGGTTTTTTTAACCATATATGACTTGAATTTTGTCAAATGTTTTTCTGTGTCAAGTTCTGCATGGTTTCTCTCCTTTATTTTGTGAATTGATTGAACTGATTGTTAGAACTGCCTTGCATTCCTGAGTTAAATTCTACTTGGCCAATGTGTATTATAGGCTTTATGTACTATTGGGTTTGATTTTTAAAAATGTTAGGAGTGTCTATATTCAGGAGCAACATTGGTCTGTATTTTTATTTTCCTGTGACTGTTTGGCAAGAGGTTCATCAATTTTTTGCTCTAGTCAAAGGACCTTACAGTCCTGTTCTGACATTATGATAAATGTCCTGCAGCCCTCTTGACAAACTATTGTCCTGAAGGTCTCTGCTTAGATCACCACCCTCAAGCCTTCGTCACACTTGTACTCTAGTCCCCGCTCGAGTCCCACAGTCAGAGCTTGCCTTTGGTCCGAAGGTTTCCCATGGAGTCCCTGCAACCTCTACAGCTAACTCCCTGCCCCTGGAGGTATCTGGTGAACTGCTGCTCCCCCTACAGGCTACGTGTGGTGCAGAGGGTCCCCACAGAGCTACAGCTGTCTCTGCGGACCACATTATGAGTTACTCATTACCATGGTTTTGCCCACACTCCAGAGGGTTTCTTTCTGATGGCTGAGAGACTTCAGAGCAGCGCCAGCCTGGGCGGACTAGCAAACTTTGTTGTCCAGTGGACTAAACTATCCCTTCTCCATTGAGGTCTGAACCCCTTACAATTTTGTCTTTCCTTGAGCACTTTCTCACCCCTAGAGTACAGTACAAAATTGTCATTTTTTTT